GCTGAGGCTGCCTTGGCCTGCGGCGTTTTCTACCCGGGTTCCTTCTTTCTGTTCTCTCACTTCTTGATTTTTTACGTGTTGACGTCAACTGAGCTGGTTGGAGTCTCTTTCAGCCTAAAATAATGCAGAGCCCTAGGGTGGCTGGGCCGGGAGCATCCTAGAAGGACGTTTTCATTTTCTCTCCTTCCTGGGCTGTGGCGGCTGCTGCAGCCTGTGTCTCAAGGGTCCTTACCTGAGGCCAGTCTGGCCCCAGGTCCAGCCGTGGCAGAATGTCTGCCTCCACTCTCCTGTGCTACCAAGTGCCTGTGGGGGTGAGCTCATGGTGTTTTCATGTCACATGGACAGTATGTGGGGGGGTCCCAAGACCACCTGCAGGCTTGGCGACTCACAGGGTGGCTCCCATCGTTTGCACAGTTGAGGCCGGAGCCTGTCCTGTCTGAGGCGGTCCCTGTGCCCAGCTCCTCAGATGGGGACACAGCCCTGCGAGGTCTGTTCTCTCAGTGGGGGGTGGCTGGTGTGGCCGTCCCAGCCGTGGCCATGTCCTCAGGTTCCACCTTGTTGGGGGGCACGCCAAGACAGGCCGGTGGGGAGTGCCTGACCAGCTGAGTGGCGGCTTTCGCGCGGCAGGAAGGGGGCAATGGTGTAGATGAGGGGGCCAGAAGTGCTGTGCTCCAGGGTCCCTGTCTGAGGCCTCCTGCAAGGCTGCCTGTCTCCACAGGCTTGCTGTCCCAGGCACCTGCCTCTCTGCCCCTGTGCTCTGTCCCTGAGGGAAGGCTCTCCTCCTGCAGGTGACTGCAGGACCTCACTTTTCTCCTTTGTGGGATGGGGATAGTAACCCCGCTGGCCATGAGGTCTCAGGAGTAGGTGCTTGGCACAGTGCTTCACAGGCAGGGCATGTCAACAGAAGGCCGTGTTCGGATGCTAGCCCACTGGGGTGCTCCCTCAGCTCCTAGCAGCTGCCCTCAGGCCTGGGCCCACCTCCCAGTAGCCCCATTTCCTCAGGGGCCTCTGCTGTGACCGAGGAGGTGGGGACCCTTGGGGAGGCGAGGCCCTGCCAGGCAGCCAGGGCCTGTTGAGGACAAGCTGTGCGCCAGGCTTGTGCTGTGTGGCCTTCCGTGCAGCCTTTGCAGGTCAGGCTGGGGAGCCTTTCACAGAAGCAACCTCGGATGGACATTCAGCATTAACGCTGGGCTGCGTGCGGTCCTGACAGGTGGCCCCTTGTCCCCCAGACCTTGTCTGTGTGTTTTCTGTCGCCACATAGCAAACTATCACAAATCTAGCCGAGAGCCAGGGAACCCTGCCTCCAGCTCATGGCTCTGTAGGTCAGGCCAGGATGTGGCGTGGTTGGGTCCTCTGGGAGCCAGGAGTGGGCCCGGGCTGCATTCTCATCCGGAGGCTCGACTGGGGAGGGATCCACTTCTCACTCATGCGGGCTCTGGGCAGAATGCAATTCCCTGCTGCCACGAGACTGAGGTCCCTAGAGCCTTGGTGGCCATGGCCCCCCTCAATTTCTTGCCACATGGCCCTTTCATCTTGAAACCAGCGGCGGCGTGTCAGCAGCTCATGCTTCCGATCTCTGACTCCAGAGGTGCATATCAGTGGTTGCCTGGGGCTGGGGTGTGTGTGGGGGGTGACATGAGTCTTGTCTTGGAGGTGACGAAGATATTCTGGAATTTGATGGTGGTGGTTGCACAGCTTCAAGCGTACTAAGAGCCATTGAACTGCACACTTAAAAATGACACATCTTATGGTGAATTACATCTTCGTTTTGAGAACCAATGACAGTTCAAACTCCGTGCAGCCCAGGAGCTAGCTGGACAAGAGAGAGTGGCCAGTGATGCAGTTCACCTGGGCTGGAGCTCACACGAGCCCCAGATGCAGCACGCTCAGCCTCAGGAGCCACGTTCTGCTGGGACAGACCCGGCCCACCCAGCCTCCCGCCACTGACAGATGGTGCTGTGCTCCGATCTCTCTCCCACAGTCAGCCCGCCGAGGATGGAGCCCGCCCAGGGTGTTGCAGAGCAGCGAGAGCACGAGAAGGCTGGGAGCCCGGAGCGTGAGCCGGCGCCGTGGCAAGCCCTCCCCGTCCTGTCGGAGCAGCAGTCGGGGGACGTGGAGCTGGTGCTGGCCTATGCCGCGCCCGTCCTGGACAAACGCCAGACCTCGCGCCTCCTCAAGGAGGTGTCAGCCGTCTACCCGCTTCCCGCCCAGCCTCACCTCAAGCGGGTGCGGCCCAGCCGGGACACCAGCGGCCCCCACGCACTGGAGCTGCTGCTGTGCCTGGCGGGTCCGGCCACAGGCACGCGCTCGCTGGCCGAGCTCCTCCCGTGGCCGGCCGTCGACCCCTGCGGCCTGGGACAGCCCTTCCTGGTGCCCGTGCCTGCCCGGCCGCCTCTGACCCGGGGCCAGTTCGAGAAGGCTCGGGCCCACTGGCCCACGTCCTTCCACGAGGACAAGCAGGTCACGAGTGCCCTGGCTGGAAGGCTTTTCTCAGCGCAGGAGCGGGCCGCCATGCAGAGCCACATGGAGCGGGCTGTGCAGGCTGCGCGGCGGGCGGCTGCCCAGGGCCTGAGGGCTGTGGGGGCCGTGGTGGTGGACCCGGTTTCAGGCCGTGTGCTGGCCACGGGCCATGACTGCAGCCGCGCGGCCAGCCCCCTGCTGCACGCTGTCATGGTGTGCGTGGACCTCGTGGCCCGAGGCCAGGGCCGGGGCACCTACGACTTCAGGCCCTTCCCTGCCTGCTCTTTCACGCCAGTGGCTGCCTCGCAGGCTGTGCGGGTGGGCACCGTGCGCAAGCTGGACGAGGACGACGGCAGCCTCCCCTATGTGTGCACTGGCTACGACCTCTACGTCACCCGAGAGCCCTGCGCCATGTGCGCCATGGCCCTGGTGCACTCCCGCATCCTGCGGGTCTTCTACGGGGCGCCCTCGCCCGATGGCGCCCTGGGCACCCGCTTCCGCATCCACACGCAGCCCGACCTCAACCACCGCTTCCAGGTGTTCCACGGCGTGCTGGAGGACCAGTGCCGCCAGCTGGACCCCGACACATAGGCCAATGCCTTCCTGCTTCTGGAACATTCCCTGCTGGCCATCCTCTGGGCTGCCATGGGGCCCGAGCTCCTGTCTGTGGATTGTAAGGACACTCGCCGCCTGCGCTGTGCACACCCTCTGGCCCCGTCACGAGGAGTGCCTGGGCTCCCCGCCTGTCTGGAACGCGCTTTCCCCACACTGACCACGGCGGGTCCAGCCCCTGAGCCCTCGGCTACAGTTGTGTCTCTTTTGTGTCACTTGTGAGCAGATAGCTTTGACCTGTGAAAATAAACTACCAAAAACCAAGGGGGTGTCTGTGGACAGAGGTGTGGGGCCCTGGCAGTGGGTCCCGGGGTGGGTACGGTGTGCCAGTGGCCGGGGGGCTTGTGAAGGGGAGGGCACCTCTGAGCTGAGTGCTGTCCGAGCTCGGGCTCGCCCAGGTGGTGGAGTCTGGAAGATTCCAGTGAGCCTGCTGTGCCTGGCCCATGTGCACCCGGACACTGGGGTGTGGTCCAGTCTGGCTGCAGCCAGCTGACCTGAAGGTTCCCTTGGGGCCGGGACCAACATGAATTGGTGACAAGGTGGTTAGGCCTGGAAGTGGTGGTTTGTGGGGGACTCCGAGCAGGGCCCTTGGGTCCATCCGGCAAGTGCCCATTGCCTGACCACTGGGGTGCTGCATGGCCCCACGGCATGGCTGCCCTGAGCCCCCAGGCCGGGAGGGGCAGGGGAGACAGGAGGGGTTCTGCCTGGGAGCCTGTGCAGCACACAGGACACTGGGGCTGGGTTCCAGGCTGGGCAGAGGGTCCCTGGGGTGGGTGGGAGCCACAGAGGCGTTGGGCAGCGGCCAGGGAGGAGGGAGCGAGCGGGCGGTGGGATGCTTCTTCCCAGGCTCTGGGGAGCCTGCCCAGCCAGCGTCACCTCGCCTGGCTGGGGTGGCCCTGGGAGCTCAGCGTTTCAGGCACTTCCTCACTGGACTGGGAAGAGGCAGGTCCTGCCCCGTGTCCGGCTTCACACCTGCTCCTGGCCAAGCTCTGGGGACTAGTCAGACCCTGCTGGCCAGTGGGGGGGCACTGAGCTGCTCCCTGAGGTGGCAGGTCCACCCACCACGCCCCCCAAAACCAGCTGGACCCTCTGAGTTTTGCACGTCCGAGGTGACCTGGGTGGCGTTAGTTCATGGGGTTCCCTCAGGAGGGCTCGTGTGTCTTGGATTGTGATGGAGTCCATGGCCCTACAGGGCTCACAGGTGAGAACTGTGGCCCAGAGAGGTGTTGTCACTTGCTGTGGTCACACAGCAATGAGCTTGAACCTGGTTCTGGGTCACTCGCTGGGAAGTTGTGCCTCACAGCAGTCGTTGGCACCTGGAGCTAGAAGTTGGAGTGGGAGCAGCCTCGAGACAGAGGGCAGTGGGTGGGAGGGAGCTGCGGCACGGCCCTATTGCCAGCACTGATGGTGCCCTCAGATTCTGAGGGGAAGTGACCACTGACTGCTATCACACATCACCTGTGGTGCCATCTGAGCCTGAAGCTGAGCTGGGCTGGCGTTTCTGGTGAGAGCCCAGAGCATCGGGCTGTTAGGGGCTTTTCCGTCACAGTGGGTAGCCTGGTAGTTAGCACCCCCACCTGGGCTGCTGTGGCCTGCAGCTGGGTATTGGGTCACCGCTCGGCTAAGGGGAGTCCCCCCAGGCTGCAGTGCAGTGGTGTCATCATAGCTCACTGCGGCCTCCAACTCCTGGGGTCAAGCAATCCTCCTGCCTCAGCCTCCCAAGTAGCTGGGACTATAAGTGTGCACCACCACACCTGGCTAATTTTTCTCCTTTTTGTAGGGATGGGGTCTCACTGTGTTGCCCAGTCCAGGCTCAAATCTTGAACTCCTGGCTTTAAGTCATCTCCTGCCTCAGCCTCCCAAGCGCTGGGGTCACGGGTGTGAGCACTGCGCTGGCCTCTCCTTCACTGTCACTGTCTTCCTTTCAGGTGGCTGCAGGCTTCAGCCCCGGCCGGGTCAGCCAAAGCAGAAATGCCAGGTCAGTCCTGCCTCTGCTGGAGGCCCCGGCACTGTGGGGTCTTCTCTCTTTCCCCTGGAAGTATTCCCAGCAGGGAGGGAGACCCTAGCAGATCCCACACGCCCTCCTTCCTGGGCCTTCTGCCTTTTGCCACCTGGGGTGGCACAGTTTGGCATAGCTGGCTTCACGCCGGTGAGGCCAGGAGGCCAGTGGGGAAGAGCCACGGGTTCGCCGGCGTTCTCTCGCTGGGAAGCAGGGGCGAGGTGCTAGTAGAATGAGGTGGGCCTTGGAGGGGATGCAGGGCCCCGGGGGCAGCAGAGGCTCCTCAGCAGCTGCCCCAGCCCTGGCCTCACCACCCCTGTGGCCCTCGAGGCACACACAGCCCCGGCACCCCCGCCCGGCCATTCTCTTTATTTATAGCTCTTGCACCCTCTTGCTCTCTGAGCCATCACTCACTCCCTGCATTTACTGCTTGTCTCTCCAGACGGCAGCCCCTTGAGGACGGGGTCTTCAGCTGTCTTGCTCACTGCCTGGCCCTGGCAGGTGCTCAGGGACCGCATCCTGAGGCAGTGCCGACTGAGCTAGGGCGCCTCAGGGGCTTTCCACTGTGGGCAGAGTCGTGTGCCCACCAAAGGCCGTGTCCACGTCGTGACCCCCGGAACCTGGGAGCGGGACCTTGTTTGGACATAGGGCCTTTGCAGATGGGACCATGTTATGGAAGCCACAGGAAACTTGCTAGAACCCTCCACGGAGTCACAGATATTAATAGCGTTCAGACTCTGCCTACTGAGTCTGTGTGTTACTTTCCTGTGGCTATTGTAAGAAATCATCATACACCTGATGGCTTAAAACAACAAAACGTGTTATCTGACCATTTAGGAGGGCAGAAGTCCTAAAATCAAGGTGTGGCAAGGCCGGTCCCTCCTGGGGGCTCCAGGGGAGAACTCGTCTCCTGCCTTTCCCAGCGTCTAGCGGCTCGAGGCCCTTCCTCCCCCTTCAGAGCCAGCAGCGCAGCGTCTTCCAGTCTCTCTGCCTCCGACCCTCCTGCCACCTCGTGGGAGGACCCTGTGCTGACACTGGGCCCCCAGGTCATCCAGGGTGACCTCCCATCCTTCTGCCACGTGAAGTGGCCTGCGCACACGTCCTGGGATGAGGGGTCCTTGGGGGCACCTTTGAGCAGACCGCAGTCAGCTCTGTCCGTGGTGTTCCCTGTCCTGCAGAAAAGGAGAACAACTTCCCCCCGCTGCCGCGGTTCATCCCGCTGAAGCCCTGCTTCTACCAGAACTTCTCCGACGAGATCCCCATCGAGCACCAGGTCCTGGTGAAGAGGATCTACCGGCTGTGGATGTGTGAGCCGCAGCTCCTGCTGGGCGCTTGGGTGGGCAGGAGGCGGGACCCTGCTAAGACCCCAGCCTGGTCTGGTTCTGACACAAGCGCCCGGGGCCGGGGGGAGTCGTGAGCCAGAGGGCAGCACTGGAGCTCCCGTGACAGGGCTGTGGGAACCTGCGCTTGCAGCCTGCTGGGCAGCGTGGGGTGGTGGGCGCAGCAGGCTGGGGCCTGGCCAGCGCAGCCCTCCCGAGGGGGGAGCAGTGTTTGGGACGCAGCGCCCGGGCAGACACCTGCTGTCCGCCCTGAGCCCGTCTCTGGGCCCTGCGGTGACTGAAGCCAGCACCCGTGACGTGCGTGGTGAGGCTGGGGGCAGACGCCCCGATCCCAGCTCAGCCATCCGCCTACCGTACAGTTTACTGCGCCACCCTTGGGGTCAACCTGGTTGCCTGCCTTGCCTGGTGGATCGGCGGGGGCTCAGGAGCCAACTTCGGCCTGGCCTTCCTGTGGCTGCTGCTCTTCACGCCCTGCGGTTATGTGTGCTGGTTCCGACCTGCCTACAAGGCCTTCCGGTAAGTCAGAGCCGTGGGGGCGAGGGGTCCAGCGGTGCCTGCAGTTCCTGTAGCACCTGCACCCGCCGCAGTCTGTGGAAGTACCTGATGCTGATGTCTGGCCAAGACACCCACCGTGCACCTTCTGGTTTCTGTCCCGGCTTCCCTCGCCTACCACAGGGCACCTGGGCCCCAGCTTGCCTGGGCTGTCCTGGTCTACGCTTGTTGGCAGCAGTTTGCATCCCGTTAGCTGACTGTGGCCCCTGCGCCAGGCCCAGCTGCTGCCTGATTTGTGCTGCTTTTTAATAACTTGATCTAAAGACTTCACATATCACACAGTTCACCTACTTAAAGTGGTTTCAAACTATGGTCTAGTGGTTTTTAATGTATTCATGTATTCACAATGCCGTGCAATCATCACTACTACCTAGTTCCAGAACATTCCATCACCCCAAAGGAAGCCCATACCCCTCAGCAGTCACTCCCCATCCCCTCCCCTGGCCCCCACGAATCCATGTCTGTGGCTCTGCCTGTTCTGGACATTTCACGTAAACGGAGTCTCACACTGTGTGTCCTTCTGTGTCTGGCATCTCTCACTGAGCACCGTGTCCTCAAGGTCCATCCACCCTGTGGCCTGTGTCAGAGCCTTGTCCCTTTTTGTGGCTGATACTCCACATATGGGTGGATCACATTGTGTTGATCCACTCGTCTGTTCCCACCTTTGGCTGTTGTGCATAGAGCTGCCACAGACGTTTGCCCCCAGCTGGCCTGTGCCCCCCTCGCCACTCAGGTTTGTGTCTTGTCCACCCAGATGATCCTGAATCCCAGACTCCCAGAGTGGGTCAGAAAGGGTACCTGAGGCTCCCCTTGAAGATGGGACTGAGACCTGGGCTGGCATTTGTTGGAAGGGGCTGACGCTGAGGGCCGGCTTGGGGCAGCTGTGAACACGTGGGCAGGGGCATGGCTGGCTTTGGGGAGAGCCTGGGAGCAGCCTGAGCTGCCAAAAGCTTCCCTGCCTTCCCCAGAGCCTGCCGTCCCTTCTCCAGAACTGGCAGCTGCCTGGTGAGGACCGCCCCCATTGCCATGTTAGATGTGGGGAACCTCTTAAGTTCTTTACCGCGGAGACCAGGTCGGGCTGCCGTATCTTCTCAGAGGAGCAGTTTTGGCCCTTTGTGGTTAGAGCCCAGTTTGAAGAGTTCGTGCATTTTTCGTATCTGAGAGAGTGAGCACCCCCTGCTGTCTCTGCCCCAGCCTCTCCAGGCCATGGTTACAGTCTTGTTTTCCATCCCTCTGCAGGGCCGACAGCTCCTTTAACTTCATGGCGTTTTTCTTCATCTTTGGAGCACAGTTTGTCCTGACCGTCATCCAGGCCATCGGCTTCTCGGGATGGGGCGCATGGTGAGCCTTTGTCCGTGGCGTGGCACATGCTACTTGTCGGAATGAGAGCCTGGCGGGAAACTGGCAAGGCTGCCAGTGTGTTATGGCTCCAGTTTGGAAAGACGCTTTCCCAGCAATGGGGGCGCCGAGCTCACACCCGGGCAGCGAGGGCTCCACTGAGCACCTGTGTCCCGCACCAGCTGGGCTTGTTCCCAAGTGTCACTCGTGCCCCAGCCAGGAAACTAGGAGCAAACTCCAGGCAACCGACGTTTCCACATGGGTCTCTGAAGGAGAAGGACTTGAAGATGTATAAAAATGCACATCGCACCTGAGATCAGTTAACAACAGTTCTCTAGTATTGCCAGGCACTCAGAAGTGTTCATACCGTCCAACCAATGTGTTTTATTTATTTTTATTTACTTATTTTTTTTGAGACGGTCTCTTTCTGTTACCCAGGCTGGAGTGCAGTGGTGTCATCACAGCTCACTGCAGCCTCTAATCCTGGGCTCAAGCGATCCTCCTGCCTCAGCCTTCTGAGTAGCTGGGACTACAGGCACCACCATGGGCCTGGCTAATTTTTAAAAAATATTTTTTGTAGATGTGGGGTCTTGCTCTGTTGCTCAGGCTGGTCTCAGACTCCCAGCCTCAAGTGATCCTCCAGCTTCAGCCTCCAAAAGTGCTGGGATTACAGGCATGAGCCACTGCACCTGGCCTTATCATCTGTTTAGGAAAAAAAAAAAAATCTCAAAAAGACCATACTTTCCGCTTACCTCCTGCCCCAGAGGTGAGCAGGATGCCCATGTAGGCATTCCTGGGATGTGGGCTGCAGGCCACGGGTTTTGTAGCATCTTGCTGATTAGTGATATGCAACGTTGTTTTCCCCTCTTATTTTAAATCTCTGCTAAGCATCCCACCGTGTGGGTGCAGCAGCATTTACACGTGTGTTCTCGGCCAATGGGGGTTTGGGTTTTCCCCAGATTTTCATCATACAAACAGTCGCTGTAGGATAAATTCTTAGAAGTAGACGTGTGGGGTAAAGGAGTGAGCGTTTAAGTCTTTCCATAGCTGAGGCCCCATTGCCCTTCACAAAGGGTGACGATCAGGGTGGCACTCATGTCTCTGTCCCCCGCACACTCAACGCTGGTGCGATATCAGGAAAATGAGACCTTGCTCTGTCTCGCACGTCCTTGGTGGGGCATCGTGGTGTGCTTACTGGTCACTTGGCCATCCTGTGTGAACTGCCCATTTCTGTGAGCATTTTTTACCTTTTTCTTGTTGATTTGTTGGTACTCTTTACATAGGAAGGGCAGTGGGTCCTTATCTGGCGGGCATGCGGACACCCACACTTCTTCTCGTCCCCTGCAGTGGTTGGTTGGCAGCGATTGGCTTCTTCCAGACCAGCGTGGGGGCTGCCGTGGTCATGCTGCTTCCGGCCATCATGTTCTCCCTGTCTGCTGCTATGATGGCCATCATGATTGTGAAGGTGAGTCTGCAGGTCCCAGGACATCCAGCCCTCGGCCCCTTCTCTCCAAGCGTCTTGTCACCCCTGAGCATTTCAGGTGGATGAGCCTGATGGGGAGACCAGGCCCAGCATCCGGAACCCTCTCCCTATGGAGTCACCGGGAAGCCACCACCCACCCAGGTGTTCATGGGGGCTGGTCATGCAGCCCCGTCCCACCTGGCCCGTGCCTGAGATTCCACACTGCAGAGGACAGCAGGGTGGGCATAGACCATGTCGTAGGACCAGTTCAAGCGCAGCAGCTGAGGCCCAGCTCTGGCCACGTGACAATCACCAGTGGTGCCAAAGGAGGGGTGGTATGGACCCTGCTCAGCGGGAAAAGAGGCTCCCAAATTCCCGGGCAGGACCAGCCCCTTCCACGAAAGCAGGCAGGGGTCAGAGCTCCGGGCAGGGGCCCCGAGTCCATGATTTTGGGTCCTCTGCGTTCTCTCAAGTTTCCGCAGAGACTCTCTGGGATGGGTTTGGGAGCAGCAGGCGTCGGTGTCCTCGACACTTGGGGGCCCTCCTCCCTCAAGGCCGCTGGTCTCAGACGGCTTCACTTTCCCTGCACCGTTCCTTCCACTGGTACCGTCGCACGCGTTGGACTGACGCGCAGTCGACGGCGCTGCCACCCACCGACGGACAGGAGCTCACTCTGGTTGTAGCTGCATTTTCATTTCTTATTTTTATAACGTCCCTGTCATTTTCTGTGATTTGGGAATGTTGCGATGGCTGACGACGTAGGCCGAGGTCGCATCTTTCCACCAGATAGTTTCATTTGCGTAATACATGGCTTTGCCCTGTGACTCCGTATAAAACAACCCACACTACCCTATACGTCAAAAACGGGTGTTTATTGATACGGAAATGTCGCAGTACGGCCACGTATGTGGCACTTGGAAGGGTGTCCTGTGGCCCTGGTGCATCGTGGCAGCAGGGGGATGGGAGTGTCACCTTAGGCGGAGCCGACTGCTCTGTCCTCGTGGCATGAAGCAGCTGCAGGCGGCTAGTGAAGAAGTCAGTGTGGCCGTGATCCCAGGAGAGGCTGTTTACGGGCGGATACGAGAAAGAAGACAAGCCTCGCTTGAGAGCGCATCTGTGCACGCGGTGCACTGACTTTCTGTCCCCAACTCCCTGTCCTTCCCTGCAGGTGCACAGGATCTACCGAGGGGGTGGCGGAAGTTTCCAGAAGGCGCAGACAGAGTGGAACACGGGTGTTTGGCGGAACCCGCCATCGAGGGAGGCCCAATACAACAACTTTTCAGGGAACAGCCTGCCTGAGTACCCCACCGTGCCCAGCTACCCAGCCAGTGGCAGCCAGTGGCCCTAGAGAGTGCCAGCCAGCCCTTCTGCTGCCCACTGCCTCCCTCCACTGCCTTGTCCAGAGAGCCCAAGTGTCTGTCCCCATAGCCCTCCCAGGAGGGCCCCAGCGGGGGCCACAGACCCCATGTCCATCTCACGCCCAAAGCAGGGCTCCTCGCAAGCACTGCCTGGCAGGACGCCCTCTGGATCCTGGAAACATGTCACCTTGACATCCCCTCAAGGCAGCCCACAGCCCTGTCTCTCCTGGTCACAGAGGCGTGACCCGCTGGAGCCCCCGGGGAGAAGGCAGAGCAGCCTGGCCTCGGCTCCATCTCACACCCCCTGCCCTGCGCCCTGTGACCAGGGCAGCAGCCCTGACCCAGGAGGTGGCCTCACAGCGCCAGGCTTTCTTTCCCCTGGGGCGACGGAGGGGCTTGATGTACAGCCCGGTCTTCGATATTTTTGTCATCTCCCAAGTCCCCATCGTCCTGCATCTGACGGCCCTTGGTGACCAGCACACAGATGGTCAGAGGCAGATCCCGCCCCCTCAGCCTGGCGGAGGTCTGTGCTGCGCCCCCAGGCTCTCCCTTCACTCCTGCCTGAGGGTGTAATTGTGGGGACACCTTCCCCCTCCTGGCCAGGGACCTCGGGCAAGACCCACCTGCACCCCAAATCCAGGACCCAGTTGCTATGGTGGAGGAGAGAGGCTCCCCCAGACCCAGCAACCCCAGAGGAAAACAGTTACCATCTCCGCAGAGCCCGTGGGGCCGCCTGTCCCCAGCACAGGAGGGTAACGCTGGAACCCGGAGGCTCCTGTTGAGACATCGGAGCTGAAGAACCTTTTTCTCAGTCTGCGGGAAGCAGAGACGGTTTCTCAGGAGACAAAGCCCAAGAGTGGCCTTTTCCGAGGAGTTGAGATGTGATACATCCCTGTGCCTTATCGAGGAATTTCAGCAAACGTCACTATTGTTTTCTTCAATCCTTCTAACTCTCCTCGAGGCAGTTTTGTCCGACTCGAAAGAGCTGAAACACATCTCGGGGATTTCCACGGGACCTTTGATAAGGGTTAGGCCAAAAAGAAGCCTTTGCCGAGTCACCTTTTGTTGCTCGCCAGCTATGTCCTGGGGCACCCTGGGCCGCTGCCCCTATCCCCCGACCACCCCCCGCAGGACAGGGGCCTCCCAGCACCTGCCATGCACCCCCCACGCTCATTTGCTTTGGCTGCTGTGCCAAACGTCCTTGGTGCCCAAAGGTGGCCACGGTGCCGGGGTGGGAGGGAAGGAAGCCAGGATAGGAAACCCTGCGGCCACAGATCTGTGCCTTGGGTCGTCTGTCCTCAGGTTACACCTCTGGCCGACCCCTTGCCAAGAGGCACCCACTCAGCTGGCCACGAGGCTGAGTGTCAGCTCGCCCGGGGCTACTAACAGCAGGTGCAGGGGCCTTAGGGTACCTGGCAGTGCCCGCCCACCCAGCTGTGCTTTGCCCTTATAACGACGTGGGGGTTTTTGTTACATGAACATACCTGGAAATAAATATTTCTGCATCAGACCGAGTGCAGGGCCAAGTCCGTGGTGTGTGAGCCTGTGTGTGTACCCGTTGTCTCGTCTGAGGAAGGGTCCCAGCGCACCCGGCTGCCTGCAGGGTAGAGCTGGAGTGAGCCTATGTCCCTGGGCCCAAGTCTGGGCATTGAGGTGCCCTTACCCTGTGTGCTGTGCTGATGGCCGCTCCACCCTGTCCACCCGCCCCGGAGACAAGTCCAGACCTGAGCAGCAGCATGTGGCGGGGGTCGGGGAGGGACCCACTCCACACCATGCTCATGCACCACCCCTGCTCTGTTCCTTCATGTTTTATTTTTATTATTTTTTATTTTAAAAGATTTTTTTTCTAGAGATGAGGTCTTGCTGTGTTGCCCAGGCTCATCTCAAACTCTTGATCTTAAGTGATCCTCCCATCTTGGCCTTCCAAAGCAATGGGATCACAGGTGTGAGCCAACTCCCCAGGTCCCCCCCTGGGTTTTGACCACATGGCTCCAACCTCATTGTGTCTCCATGCAGCCGTCTTCCCATCTCTTGTGTCTCTTGGAAGGACACCGGCTGTTGGATGTGGGACCCACTTGTAGTGATTGCACCTCAAGATCCTTAGTTATGTCTGCAAAGACCCTTTCTCCTAATGAGGTCACAGGTGCCAGGATGTGGACATACCTCTTTGGGAGCCACCACGTAGCCGGCACCGGGGAGGAGCCAGGGCTGTGGAGTAGGAGGAAAACCCGGGGTGGCCGGGAGGAGATGTCCCCGCCCGGCCCTATGGAGGCTGGACTGAGGGCATTGGCGGGGGGACGGTGTCACGGGCGGGACACAAAAGCACAGTGAAAAAAGTGGGGAGGGAGGGGGTGGCATGGGCTGCCATGCCAGGGGTGCAGTCGAGGGGACACCAGCAAGAAAAGGACGTTGGCTCTCTTGGCTGACAGAACAATCCAGAAGGCAGAGCAAACACCAGGAGCCGTGCTGGGGACACAGCACTTCTTGTCACAGGGTGGTGGGCAGGGGCAGGGTGATCCTGTCACTTGTCACCAGGTGCCAGCTGCCAGCCTTCCTGTCACTTGGGGTCTCCCCGGAACCTGTGGACACTGTGGCCGGGCCATTCCCTGGGGAGGGGCTGTCGTGGGCACTGCAGGTGCTGAGCAGCGTCCCTGGTTCCCACCCACTCCATGCCAAGAGCTCCCTCAGTGCGACAACCACAGATGTCCCCACACATGGCCCAGTGGGACCACCCCCCGTTGAGAGCCACTGCTTTAGCTGCAACAGTTGACCTGGCAAAACTGTTATGGCTGGAAATGAAGGACAGCAACCGAATTGGAGACATTGATGGAGTTTTTTTGTTGTTAATCTGATCGAAGGATCAAGCCCTGGCTGCGAAGAAAAGCATCCATCCTGCTGAAAACGTGAACAGTTGGCTGGGGTAAGATCCTGGGCACGGAAGGCAAAGTTTGCCTCTGCCGCGGAGAAAAAACAAAGGAGTGACAGGATCACATCAGATGCACAGGGCTTGGTCTGAGCCTGCTGTCCCCGAGAAAGCTCATCTGCGTGGGAGTCTGTTTGGATTTGGAGGCTCTGCCTTTGTCGGTGCAGAGACGGCAGCTCCCGCGGCAGAGGCCGCCTGGAGGTGGAGAGGTTCCCGCATGAGTCTCCTCGGGCTGCCAGGGACTCCAGAGGACAATGACCTCACAGAAACATGCCCTCCCAGTCCTGCAGGCAGAAGTCTGAACTCGGGTGTCTGCAGGGCCAGGCTCCCTCCGGAGACTCCAGGACAGGATCCTTCCCAACCATCGTAGCTGGTTTCTTACATACATGGTCCCCGATGTAACAACAGCTCAGCTCACAATCTGGTTAGTGTATCAAATGCATTTTCCGGCTGGGTGCGGTGGCTCATGCCTATAGTCGTAGCAACTCAGGAGGCTGGAGTGGGAGGTTTGCTTGAGCCCAGAAGTTTGAGACCAGCCTGGGCAATGCAGCAAGACCCCATTGCTACAAAAAATAAAATTGCCAGGTGTGGTGACATGTAACTGTAGTCCCAGCTATGGAGTCCCAGAAGGCTGAGGCGGAAGGATCGCTTGAGTTCAGGGGTTGGAGGCTGCAGTGAGCTGATGACACCTCTGCACTCCAGCCTGGGCGACAGAGCAAGACCCTGTCTCTAAAAAAAAGCATTTTTGACTTAAGATATTTTCAACTTACAACGGGTTTATCAGGATACAACCCCCTCCTAAGTTGAGGGGCATCTGTAGTGTATTAGAATTTAAGACAAAATTTTAACACATTTGTTAATTCATTTAAAAATAATAAATTTATTATGTGTTAACATTTTTTTTAAATGACATTTTCCCAAAACAAGGTGGGTGAATGAGTAGCGTTGTTTTTTTCTGCTAATTTCAGACATCCGGCTTCGCAGGGACAACCAGGTTTGCCGTTGCTGCACAGTCACTTCCTCACAAAAGGATGTTTTGGCCCCAAGAGGAAGATGAAGGGCAAGTGGTGTGTCTCGGCTGAGACCCCGGGAAGCACCCGGGGGGCGTGGGGAAGGGTGGGACCCCAGGGGAGGCACAAACAAACAGCTGGCAGCTCTAGGCAGTTGGGGCTCAGTCCCAGTGGAGACCTGGCTGGGGTTGTCTGTCTGCAGGTGACAGAGCCAGACATTAACCCTCCAACTCCCAGCAGCCGCGCTGGGAGCTGGGGGAGGCCTTCACTCTGCCCGCAGGTGGAGAGTCGTGGGTGCTGTTGCGTGTGTTTGTGTTTTTGTGGTGTGCTTGTACATGTGTGTATCTGTGTTCAGGTTGCACATGTATGTGTGTCTATGTGGGCATGTGTGTTTGTATTTTCTTATGGCTTGAGTTTTGTCCCCCTCCCCAAATTCATATGTCGAAGGTCGTACTAGAGTAGGGGGCCCTGATCACATGACTGGGGAGCCTTACAAAGGGGAAATATGGACATAGACACACGCAAACACCCCAAGGATGCTGGAAGATACACACACATTGTCTGGGACAGCAGAGAAACATTTCCGACTGGCTCCCCTGCCCGTGTGAAGAGGCAGGTCCCAGTGTCTCCAAACATGGTTCCCAGGGCCACCCTGTTACCCCAGGCTCTGCCCCCCCCAGCTAGGTAGGGTCCCACTGCTGGCTGCAAACTCAAGCCTTCTCCTAAAGGCTGTGTTTGTGCCCTATCCAGGGCTGTTGCACTAATCTCCAGAAAGTGCCAGAATTGTTTCAAATGGGGACATAGAGGAAAATGGTAGAATCACTGACATGAGAATTTGGGAACTGGAGGGGCCATCAGAGCCCCCTAGTCTCAGAAAGGTAAGTAACTCATCTGTGCCACCCTCTTCACTCCCATGTACAGGGCAGACATAAGCAATCAATCAACCAATCAGTAATTTCCGGCTGCCCCCCTCACGCCTGTGCACAGGGCAGACATCACCAATCGATCAAGTGGCAGGGGGAAACCAATTTCGCAGTCCAGGCTGTATCCAGTTCCATTCTCTTACAGATGAGGCTGAGGCTGAGGCCAAGGGACTGGTCTGAGGGCAACTACAGGGGCAGATCCTCCCACCGGCCCCTCCTGGGAATTATCGTCTCTTGTTCTTGGAATAAATTCAGAGAAGTAGCAAGGTCATGCGCATTTTTACCCAGGGCATCAGTCACTTGGTCCCTGCTGTCCAGGGCTAGTTCCTGCTGAGACCAGTGTCCTTCCATGGGGTTGAGTGCCTGAGAGCAGGTTTCTCTGGAAGTCAGGAATGGGAGAGCAGAGATGGGGCAGGGAAGCATGAGGAAATAAAACCCGAACTCTGAAAATTTGGGGAGGGCGGCTGTGGAGTTCTCTCATTCACTCATTCATTCATTCACCACATACAGTCACTGCATGCAGACTGAGCGCCTCCTGTGTGCCAGGCCTGGGGCTGGGTCCTGTGGGCACAGCCGGAGGACACTGATGTTAAGCAAACACGCTCCACTGCAGTGCAGATCAGAGCGCCCGATACAGTGGGAAGGATAACTGGGGAAGTGACTTGGGCTTCCTCAAAGAGTGACATTTCACGGGGGGCTGCCAGTCTCCCACATGGCTGCAGAACGAGACCTAGAACCTGCATCTCCCAGGGGTTTGGTGTGGCCCCTAAAACACATTGACCCTCAGCCTTCGCATTCAGGTTGGATTCTCATCCCGGTATTTTTCTCTGCAGCCCCATCTGGCTTGAGTGCAGGACTGTCATCAAAGATCATGGAATCTTCCTCCCAGTCTTATCACATCGGCTTTTAGCCTTTAGGGCTCGGCCTTCCCTGACCATCTGCCCAAATGAGGTGTCTTTCCCTGGGGGACTCAGCCACACACCACCTTGTATCATCATCTGAAATCATCTGTCGCGCTCCCCCGCCCTGCGGGACCGAGGACTCCCTGGAGACGGTGCCAAGAGTCTAGCTCACTGTGCTATTCTCAGAGCCGCTGGCAGGCACTTAATACACACATATCTGAGTGGATGTGTCTCCCCCAACTTTAAAAATGCCCTTCTGGGGAGATGCATGGAGAATGCGGGGGAGGCCAGGAACCATTTCTGCAGCTGCCCCCGCCCCAGGCCCTGTTCTGGGGTGGATCAGGGGCCGCCGTGGGGGTCCCTGGCCAGCGGCGTCCACCCCAAGCGTCTCCTGCATGAGCAGGCACGACAGGCACAGCAGGACACTGGCCAGTCACCCCGGGCGACCCTGCGGACGGGGCCGCAGGGGCCTTGGGTCACCCCTCTCCTCTGCTCCTTGCTTGTGTCACGACTAGCCAGGACACCGAGAGCCCAGGCCACCACCCTGCGCCCATCAGGCACTGACCATCGTTCTAGACCTGGTTTCCCCTCTTGGCCCAGGAAACCCAGATGGAAAAACCGTCTTGCCCCAAACCAGCCCATTTCCTGGCCCGCCGCCCTGGCCTGCGCCTGCCCCGGAAACCTCCTGGCCCGCGGCGCCGCCCGCCCGTGACGCCAAGTGGCGAGACCGTGACGTCACAACGCGGTGGGGCGGCGCCAGGGCGACCAGCCACGCGTCGCCATGGCGACGGCGGGGCGGGGCTGGCGGGGAAGACGAAGCCCCGCCCCTATAGCAGTGTGGAAAAACCGCCCGGCCCCTTCTTCACCCCTCGCGCCCCACGACTGCGCGCCTCCAGTGTCCCCGCGGGCAGCGGCCCACAGACTCCCGGCGCGGCCGAAAAGTGCGGCGGCCGTCGCGCGGCGACCCCCGCTGTCGCAAAGCGGCGCGCGAGAGGCCGGGCCGGGCCTAGGCCGCGCCCCGCGCTGTGACGTCACGGCGCGCGCGCCCGGCGCCCCGGCCGCGACTGCGCAGTGGCACGCGTACGGCCGCCGCCCCCCGCTGGCCGACGCTGGCGGCGTAAGGCGCGCGGGCCCCGGAGCGGGCGCGGCGGAGCGCGGCGAGCCCGGCGCCTGCCGCCCCGAACATGCGGAGGCCGGCCCAGGCGGCGCGGGAGCCGGAGCGGGGGCCCGAGCGGGCGCCGGAGCTCGAGCCGGAGCGCGAGCGGGCACGGGGCCCGGAGCTGGGGGCCGCGCCGCGCTGCTGAGGCCGGCTCGGCCGCCCAGCCGCCGCCCGCGGGCCCGGCCACGGCGGAGCCCAGGTAACGACGCGCGCGATCGTCGGCCGCCACGGCCACGCGCCCGCCCCCGGCCACGCGTGGCGCCCCGAGACCCCCAGCGCCCGACCCCGGCGACCCCACCCGCACACTCCGGCCGCGCCGACCTCCCGCCCCGGACCCCGGCGCCCCCATCCCTATACTCAGAGCCCCACCGCCCCCCATACCTCGCCGACCCGCACCCCGCCGACCCCGCGCTCCGGACCCCCGACGCCGCCCCACGCTGACCCTCACGGCTAGGACCCCGGCACCCCAGTGACCCTCTCATCCCACCCCGCCGCCCTCCACTGACGCCTTAGTCACAGTCCCGCCCGCCCGCCCCTTACCTTCCCCCCAGCGCTCGCGCCCATCGCCCGCTCTCCATCCCGGCCTGCTGCCTATCTAGTCCCCTTGCCGCCTTCGGCCTCGGCCTGGCACCTCCTCGCGATGGTGTTCCCGCTCCCCGCTCCGTGGTCCCGAAGCTGTTGAGGGGCAGAGTGGGGGTCTCGGGGCAGAGGGGTCTGGTCGAGGGGACCTGTTGCGGGGCCTGCTCGGGAACTCCCGGCTGGGCTTGCTGCGCCCTCCCCCTTCCGCTCTGGCCACCGGCTTTGTTTTCCGGAAACACACGGGCCCAGGAGGGAGGGTGAGACGTCTGAGCCCGGCCTGTCGCCCCAACTTTCTCCGGGGAGACTTTGGCGGTGGGAGGTGGCGCCCGGGGCCGGCGCGGCTCTGGGGGCTGCTGGTTCATTCGTTCGGCCTCCGGATGGCATTGTTTGTGGGAGACACCCGGAGCGGTGTCTGTGTAGGTGGAGTCCAGCATTTTCTCCCTGTCTGCCCTGCGGCGGAGCCAGTGTCTGGGCTCCGGGGGTGTCTGTCGCACATCCATCTGGCGGGTCCTCGGGCTGCTGGGTCTCCTGTCCCCACCCCCGGCAGGCAGGAGCCTCATTCGGTGTTTCCCGGCCCCCAGAGGCTCTGCGGGCTCGTGGGTGTGAGAGATGAGTAGGAAAGTAGGAAGGCTTCGGTCTGGGGGGAAAACCCAGCTGCTGGCTGCGGGAAGCTGCTCCCATCAGGGAATGGGGTGTGGGGGTGGCTGGGGATGGGAGCACCCTGGCCCCCCTGCCCTGCCCAGGGTCTCTGTGAAGGGACAGTTGTGCACCCGGCCCACAGGTTTGAAAGGGGGAAGTTAGTGGTTGTACTGGTACTTTGCTTTGTTTTCCGCTGCGTCTCCACCAAAACGAAACGCTACAGCCTGGGCCGGGCGGACTGATGAGTTTCCCAGGTGGGCAGCACTCAGGAGTGCGTCCGTCCGGCAGCGCTGGCCGCCCGCCTCTGTCTCCAGGGCCCACCGTGTTGTGGTCGGACCCCCATGGTGAGCTGTGCCAGCCACACTGGTGGAGCCTGTCTGCTGGCCAGCTGGGGGTCTGCAGGGGGTCCCAGCGGGGAGGGCTGGAGCTGGGGGCCAAGAGGCCAGCCGTGTCTCTGGCAGGACCACACTGTGGGTGTTCGGTGAGCCCTAGGAGGGGCTGGCTCTGTCCCCATCTCCCCAGGGTCTGCGGTGGTCTGGCTTCACCTGACCCAGCTGGCAGTGGGAC